GAGTGACGAGTAGAATTGGCGGTATTTAGAGCTAAGCGATCCTAGAGCCAAAGCTATAGGTTTTCCATGATCACCAAATACATTTTCTGACTCAGTTTGATTCATAGATTACGAATACAATCTTATTTTTGCAAAAAAAGAATTTTGAGCGAAAAACGATATTTTAAGAAAATTTCTGACTTGCTGGTCTTAAAAAAGTAAATATCATTGGATCGAAGAGTTTTGGATCTCACTTACTTGATCCTAAGCTGAAACCCTAGAGATCGAATCTTATTTAGAATTTCTATAGGAATCTTATGAATTTCTTAATAAGGCAGTCGATGGGTATTGATACAAATCTTATATGAGAAACTGGTAAGATTCCGATAAGATTCATATAAGAATCGTAATGAGTCGCGTGAAAATTTATACAATTCTTATATAAGATATTTATGAGTCAATTGCTACATACACGAATAACATAATTTTCTTCCTATTTATTTTTTTCGAGAATAAGACCATACTTCCAAGTGGGCAGTCGAAAGATTCGCCCCATTGTCTCTTTACTTCTCCACATCTATCATGGTTCTTTTTGTTGTTTTCTTTTCCTAGGACGGTTGTTTATTTAACATCAAAATGTAACAGTACAGTGTAATAACATCGATTCCAAAAATTATCTATCGGAAAAGAAAAACACGGCACATATAAATGACACAATACTGAAATAAATGCGACGAAACACAAATACATGGAATAAATGAAAAACTAACATGCAGTATGGAGATACATGTACTAATTACATATACGGCGCAAAAATTCGAACAGAATGTGCTGGAGAATAAAGACATTTTAGTAAAACAATTTTTTCTTCCGTTAGATAATCATACTAGTTAGCCGTTGTCGAAGGGGAGATGAGTTACAGATGCCAGGAAAGATCTGGTCACCATGTTAATATGTCCCGAGACTTTATCGAAAAGAACTGCATTTCGATAAGCCCAAATTGTTTTAATGAAATTTCCAATTTGGAAAATCATGTTTTTACGTTGTGCCGCGGTGAGCTCATATGAGAGTATATTTTCCAGATAGACGGTCGCTCTAGTACACGACCACATTGAGGTCTAGCCGTTTTCGTCCGAGAAACTTGTCTTCAAAATTGCGTGGTCAACTGCACTCCTTATAGAGCAACGATGCAGAAGCTGCGCAAATGAAACTAAACAAAATATAGTGTAATCAATGGTAAGCACATCTTTTTAAAAAATTCAAACTTTGACTTGACCTGAAGATGAAATTTAACGACGGATGTGCGAAACTTCTAAAATAGACTGAAAGACTACTAGATTTACTAAAAAAGAAGTCTAGCAGAATCAGTGTCCGTACCAGGGCTCGAAACAGGCCGACAATTTTGAGGCCTGGTTTGCCTGCGTCAGGCCTGTAATGTTTAGATCTGCCTAGGCCTGTCGTAGTATTTTCTTGGCCTTGCTTGCCTGTCTGCCATTGCTCTCAACCTACCCTGGCCTGGTCTTTAGATGCCTGGTAATTCTTTTAATAAACAAAATGTACAAATAATAGTAACAT